TGTGTCCTTTCATAAATTTTTTTGAACTGTGCTATATTTTAATTTGAGGTCAGTAGCTTGATCTAATTTTCCAGACCTCTGCCAATATCTGTCCTGCCTATTCCACTGCTGTTGACACAGGCTGGCGCCACGCTAGTTGAAAGGATGGACGAGATGAAACATAGTACCTTGTGGATTTCTTTGAAACGGTCTGTTTTTAACTTGACTGCATCGGTTTAAAAAGGCACTTCAGTGATTACCCCTTCATGGAATGGAATAAAGCCTAATGCAATTAAAAACAACGACAACAACAACAACCCAAACCCGTTGAAATCAAGTCGACCCCAATTCATAGCAACCCTATAGGACAGAGTAGAACTGCCCCTTAGGGCTTCCAAGGAGCGGCTGGTAGAATGGAACTGCCAACCTTTTGGGTAACAGCCATAGCTCGTAACCACTGTGCCACCAGGGCTCCAGTTAGAGCAGCAGTTTGCTAACTTGCCAGTTTATCCCTTTTAAAAATGGACCCTCCTTCCAAACAACATGCCTAAAAAATCGTTTTCCTGCCCAATCGTCCCCTACACTTAACTGCTTCCTACAGCAGAACTCTCCTGTGGAATAGTCAAGTGCCAAATGCTTTCACTCTCAGCCCATATGAGGATTCAGGAAGAATGTAATCATACTTAAAAGATTAAAAAAAAAATAAAGTATATTCTCAAATCTAGAAATTAGCTAGTAATTGAAATTATCATCACAATGTTTTAACTGATGACCGTTGAACTCTTTTCTGGCAAACGGCTCATAGAGCATTAATTGCACGTCGCATTACAGATCTGCAGAGTTAAGTTCTGTCTTGCCCTTGGGACTGCGAGGTCTAAAGCAACTTTGTAAGTGTCTTTCAGAGTGAAAAAAAGAAAAAAAAATCATTAAGCTGCACAAGTTCTATTAGTTCTGAGAAATGTCTACGTGCTCCACTGTCCTTCTAAATGTCACTCTTGGCCCCTCAAAGTTATTATTTAAAATCTAGCACATTTGAACAAAGAGCCCTGGTGGTGCAGTGGTTAAGAGCTCAGCTGCTAACTGAAAGGTCAGCAGTTCCAACCCACCCGCGGTTCTGTGAGAGAAAACGCCTGACGATCTACCCCTGTAAAGATTGTCGTTAGGTGCCATCAGCTTGATTCTGACTCATAGAGACACTATGTACAACAGAACAAAACGCTGTCCGGTCCTGCACCATCCTCACAATCATTGTTATGCTTGAGTCCATTGTTGCAGACATTGTGTCAATCCATCTCGTTGAGGGTCTTCCTCTTTTTCAATGACACTCTAATTTACCAAGCGTGATGTCCTTTCCAGGGACTGGTCCCTCCCGATAACATGTCCAAAGTAAGTAAGGGAAACCCTATGGGGCGGTTCTACTATGTCCTATAGGGTCACTATGAGGTGGAATGGACTGGACAGCAACTGGTAACACATTTGAATACTGCCAAGGATCTCCGCCTCCTTCTACTTTTTCCCTCATAGCACCTGGAATCTTCCTAAGAACATTCCAGAAAACCATTTCCCAAATAAAGAAAAGAGCTTAAGAGAAGTGCATTCTGGTTCCATTTTTTCTGATCAATCTTTGCAGATGATTACCTAGACTTTTTTAAACTCGTATATACATTTAATGACTTATTTCAAATTGCTAATGATATTGATTGTTAACTAATATAAAACTAAACCAAACCAAAACCAAACCTGTTCCCTTTGAGTCAATTCTGACTCATAGCAACCCTGTAAGACAGAGTAAAACTGTCCCGTAGGGTTTCCAAGGAGCCACTGGTGAATTCAAACTGCCAACCTTCTGGTTAGCAGCTGTAGCTCTTAACCACAGCTCCACCAGGGCTCCAAAATAGAACTAGGACTCTAATTTAAAGACAAAAAATAAAATATCTTTCTCTTGGGTATCAATCAGCAAATGATATTACTAGATATAATAGCTGTGTTATGGAGTTTGAAAGAAGCTAAAGAAAAGCTGATGAAAATTAATGAATGGTAACTTTGAAAAGGTGACTGTGCAAAACTTCATACAAACACCCATAGATATATAAATGTTCTTATTTCCAATTTGATTGATTCAAAAGTGTGCTTATTTTTTTTTTCTGGGTAATTCATACAGAGCTTGGTTTGACATTGGATTTGGTTTTCACTCCCCAAATCAAGACTGAAAACACAGTATGAAAGAAATATCTACCAATTTAACAAGTGGACTCTTTACGAGCTACTTTAGAAATACTCATACATATCCCGAATGGAATTGTAATGCTAATTTAAAATTGTTGTTGTTAGTTACCTTGAAGTTGATTCTGACTCATGGTGATCCCATGTGTGCAGAGTAGAACTTCTCCAGAGGGTTTTCAAGACTGTGACGTTTTGGAAATAGATCACCAGCACTGTTTTCTGAGCTTTCTCTGGGTGAGTTCAAACCACCAGCCTTTTGGTTAGTAGTTTGATTGGAGTCCCTGATTGGTGCAAATGG